CTTAGAGATACAGAATATGCCATATAGATACAGCATATGCCATATAGATACAGCATATAGCATGTAGGTACAGTATATGCCATATAGATACAGCATATGCCATATAGATACAGTATATAACATATTCTGTATATAGCATATAGATACAGTATAGAGCATGTAGATATAGCATATGTCATATAGATACAGCACATAGCATGTAGATACAGTATGTACCATATAGATACAGTATATGCCATATAGATACAGCATATGCCCTATAGATACAATATGCTATGTACTATAAGGTGGTCACTTGCCACATGTGCCTATTTAGATTTAAAACACTCGAAATGGAATAAAGTCTACAGTTCAGCTCCACGGTCACACTGGCTTCATGATAGGAGCTTGGCAGCCACGTGCAGCTACCAGTTTCCATCCTGGCAAAGCAGCAGACCACCTACATTGCTGCCCTGTCGTCCTTGATTCTATATCACCCCTGTCCATATAGATACAGAATATGCCATATAGATACAGCATATAGCATGTAGGTACAGTATATGCCACGTAGATACAATATATGCCATATAGATACAGCATATACCATATAGATACAGTATATAACATGTTCTGTATATAGCATATACAGTATGTAGCATGTAGATATAGCATATGTCATATAGATACAGTATGCTACGTACTATAAGGTGGTCACTTGCCACATGTGCCTATTTAGATTTAAAACACTCGAAATGGAATAGTCTACAGTTCAGCTCCACGGTCACACTGACTTCATGATAGGAGCTTGGCAGCCACGTGCAGCTACCGGTTTCCATCCTGGCAAAGCGGCAGACCACCTACATCACGGTAGAAAACCCTACGGGACAGTGCAGGTCTGTCTGAAGATGCCGAAGTGTCATGGTGATGAGTGACCTCCCCAGCCTCCCTCTGTAATTAAATACTATCGAGATGTCAAGTCACGTTTTCTGCCACTCAATTCTGTTCACTTCACAAACCAGTGTTATATGTGATTATGCTCGTCACTCTGTATGCGCCTAGGGTGGGATTCTCTCTCTCTTTACACACACACACACACACACACACACACACACACACATACACACACTATACACAACGTCTAGACATTTGCACTCACACATGGCTGTTTTAAGTTCTCGTGTATTTTGAAATACGCGTGAGGCACTGTCGAGGTTCTGTTTGACAGTTCCCCTCTCCCGAGGAGGTCCAGTCTGCTTACAGAGATAAGACATTACACACCCAAACCCACAGCTGGAGTCAGTCAGTGAGAAGTTGCCGATAAAAATGAGTTAATGTGAGAAACGTGTCTAATGAAGTGACACATTATTGTTAAAGAATGACTTTTCTTCCATCCTAATTTAAATCCTCTCGAGGAGC